CCTGGATGTTGTCGCGAAGAATCTTTCGGTGGCGTTTGGCACCGCCCTTTCCGAGTCCCTATTGCGCTGTGAGCCATGGGGTGACACCAGCTCATATTTTCCGTACCTTGCCGCCTTTTCCGCGTCCAGACATGTCGTATTATGAGCTAGGTTATGAGTATCGGAAATTTGTACAAAGGGGCAGATGGAATACGCTGCAGTACGTGATGGTAGTAGTGAAAGAAGATATAAATGCAGTCAACAATGATACCCATACCGTTGTGTTTTGTGGACCTCACGTGACCGGCTTATATCGTGCTTTCCAAGCACGTCACGCATGGCACTGCCAGCTGACTTATACCGACAGCGCCAGTAACCACATATAAACCCATCGCCCACCAGCAGCGCTCTTCAATCTCTTACATCACATACCTCATCTAGTCTCATAATGGTTGCTGAAATCTCCACGTCTGCACAACTCAAGGAGTTCACCTGGCGATGCCAACAAGCTCACGGTAGGTATCTGTGTCCTCATTTGTCCGAGTTCAAGTGACAGAACGGTTTGCTTGCAGGTCATAGATTTCACTGCTAGTTGGTGCCCACCTTGCCAGGCCATCAAGCCAGTTTTCGAGGGCCTCGCAAAGGATAATGACAATGTGAACTTCCTCAAGGTTGACCTCTCCGAGGGATCGAACGAGCTTGCCACGCAGTACTCCGTCACCGCCATGTCAGTTTCCACCATCTTTGAAAGTTTCACCTAGACTCATAATTCACAGGCCAACCTTCATCTTCCTGGTTGGCGACAAGGAAGTGCACAGGATCCGTGGCGCTAACCCAGCGTTCGTTCACCAATCCTCATTCTCATGAATGTACTTCTAACCACAACCATTCCAGTGCCCTCAAGTCAACTATCGCGCAGCACGCCAATCCCGCATCTTCTGGTGCGTTCTCTGGACAAGGCCAAACCCTTTCGGGTAAAGGCGGATCTTCGTCGTCCGCACCTACTTACAATGTGTCAAACAGCTTAACTACCACATGGTCGAACATGAACCCTCAAGCGAAAGTTTTAATTGTACTTTGTGTAGCTTATGTATATTTTTGGCTGATGTAGAAAAGATCGAGTTTGCAGGATCAGGTTTTATACTTGGTGTAGCACGTATAAATACGATACATCCAATATTTATCGGGATTTTGGCTTGATCCATATACGAGTGCAATCAGCACTTTTGAAGAATGTCCGGATGAGGCAATCCGATTTCCTACAAGACAATGATCGGAACCTCGGGAGTCAGCCTGATCAAGGTGAACTTAGTCTTGATCTCCGTCACAACAGCCCACGCCGCATCATGATGAACTGTGACTGCTAGCGCCATTGATCATATCCTGAGCCAAACCTTCAGACTAGGCCCTTCATGCTCACCATCATGATGATGGTCAACTACTTTAAGTTGACCTGCCAATAAATGAATGACGCAAACCCAAATTGGAACCAAGGCTGGCGCGGCATCATCATCGTCCATACGACATCCATACTTGAATCAATAGCACAGTCAAGAAAGTCCTGATCAGGTTTTCAAGTACATGTATTATCAATTGAGCATTGATCTAATGATACTCCATGGCATGGCAAAGTTACAGAAATATCGCGGGTACGCGATCAACTATCAATATCACGAAGATGGATTCTTTCTTCCATCCCGAATCATGATGATGAGTCCCCCACATGACACTAGCCTAAATCCCCGTAGTTTTCTTCGTGCCATACAAGCTTAAACCTAAACGTCGCCGAAGCGCATCAGTCCTCGAGGTTTTGACCTCCTTGATCGATAATATAACAGGTTGTTATCTTATCACTGGTGGAGTGAATCATGTAAGTAATCCCCCCGCCCTGATCATATCTGTGACAGCGTTAGCACATCCGAGTTATGATTTACCACATCATCCAACAAATTGCTACAAATCAACTTTGGGATCCCCGAAAATGATATGGGGTTCTTGGCAACTAGAAATGATATCCCTGAAAGAGTTTAGCATCCGGTCGAGTTAGCTGTTATTTGAAATCTTGCAGATATGGTTTGACGTATGATAGTTCCTGTCTGCCAGGACCCCCAGGTGGTACTGAAGAGACTACTATACTGACCCTGCGTAAAAAGAAAGATTATAATAATTACATCAAAGCTTGTGCCAGCTTGTGCCTTGTGCGGAATCTCGGAAATGATCTCTCCGGGACGAACCGTTCGGAACTTATCGATCTGAAATCAAATATGCTGAAGCTCCCCGTCTCCTCTTGAGGCTCTTGTCTGCTTTCATCATGATACGGTCCCTCTTTTCGAAATTTCCAAAGCCCTGCATTCGGTTCTGTACGGATGAAATACATGATATACATATCAGGATTGGCAAACAAACACAATGATTTTTACAACGGCAAACCAACATAGCCAGCACCTGCCTCCCTCAACAGACGTTCGATCAGTTTCATGCCCTCCAGGACGCGTTCCTCTTCAAGCCGTCTTCCTACAATCTGCACACCAACGGGAGACCTTCCATGGCACTTGCATCATACATCCGGTAGTACTTCCGCTCGATGGCGTTTCGTGGGCGGAAAGTACGCGGGAGAGCATCAGCCGTCGCATCCACATGCGTAATTGGCATAACCCCCGCACTATAATCAAGCTTTTCAATTTCAAAGTGAGTTTCAGATCGGAGCTGTTGAAGAGGAGTGGGACATACCAGATTGAATAGGAATGTGTACCCACACGCTTTCCATCCGTGCCTCATCCCTCCGTGAGGAACAGCAGGAAGACTGTTGGGCACTGTAAGAATGAAGTCCACTCCCTCATCGCCCTGGCGGCCTTCGACCTCTGCGTCCCGCCACACTTTGAACCAGCGAGAACGATAGTCCTCCCTTCGCGCAATCAAAGCAAAGTATTCTGGAACGGTTTTCTCGTAATGAGTGTCGATCAGACCTGCATAGATGGGATCGCGGCGTATGTAGCGGTAATACCAAGCATAGAGTTTCATAACGAAGTAGGGGAGACGAAAGCCCCGGAACGCTGAAGTCATTCCAGGATCGTTGGTCTCGAATGCGCGATGGTTTTTGGAAGCCGTCTTGCCGCCGTCAGCGAGGAGGAGCTGTGACGCGATCTGAAGGCCTTCATATGGGCTCGGGCACTTCCTGAAAGTGGGATAGGAAACACCTTCAGAAAAGAAGAATTGACTTACAGAGTGACAACTTCGTGGCCGTTCTTCTCGAGTATCGCAGTAACCGATTTCAATGCTCGCGCGCAGGCAGGTGATGGCTTCACGACCCCTTTGTGCAAACATGAATATGCTGAGGTTGAACTCCATAGAGATGCTCCACTTACCATCATCCCACAGGACACCCCACCTGATGGGGCGATCTTGTGGAAGTTTGACATCTCTCCAAGGAATTCTAAGAACCTATATTATCATTAAGCAACTTAACGGTACTAATATTCAGAATGTTGAGTTACGGAGTAGTCGTAGTTCCAAGGCTTCATCTGGAACACAGCACGCCAGAACGTCTCTAGATCTTCCAACGTCCTGGTCATAGGACTATGTGTTGGGGGAACACCTTCCTGGCCAGGCACACTGGTCGCGCTGCCCTGCTTCAAGAATCTATACATACTTGCTTTGATTGAATAGACACCAGAGAAGTGCGCAGGAGCCCGAACGCTCCCCGCGACATCTGTGCCTATCGCGAGTCTGGCTGCACCGAGCGCAAGGAGTACAGCTTCACCTGACGAAGAGCCTCCTGAGGTGTAGCCCTTCTTGTGAGGATTATCGGTAGAACCAAAAACATCGTTTGTCGACTCCAACGAGAGCATAGTCATAGGAACGTTCGTCTTGACGTATGGAACGGCACCTGCATCCCGCAGCAACCTCACCAACGCGCCGTCGGCGGCCATGGGTTTGCCCACAAGAGCCGAGTATCCCATGGAGGAATCCCAACCCTTCACACCTACCAAGTCCTTGAGCGAGACTGGGACGCCTGCCAACGGACCTGATCGGTTCGCAGTGCTAGCCCAATTCTCTGCAGACGCAATCATGACCTCAGTCAGACAATTTGTCTGAGCATGCGCCTGGAGAGCTTTCTTAGAGTAGGCTACGAGGATATCGGATGGAGACAGTGATGAGGTTTGCACAGCAGCCACCAGAGACGAAACTGAGCGAGATAGAATCTCCTTGTCCTGGGATGTTAGAGGCTCGTGGTAGATGGGTTTGAGGGATGCGATTCGTTCTGCTCGCTCTCGTTGCTTATCGCGACTAGGTCCTCGTCAAAGTCTGTTAAGGAAACTGACAATGGTGATAGAAGGCTCACCAAGCACGACGGTGCGACAAGTAAGAGAACCACATAATATGTTTTCTGAATCCGTGCCAACAGTAAACCTTTCAGAAACCCTCGTCTCGTCAGTTGAGGGAGTAACCCGTCAGACGCGTGAGAAGACTAGCAGCCGCGAAGGCGCTCATGAGCCTCAGCTGGTTCTTATCGTGCTCGCATGAGAGAGAGAATGTTTGTGTTTATTACCTTGTCCACAAGACCATTGATATTTATTAATATCAGCCCATAATTGTGGCTGTACGATTTGACCTAGCTATTCGGCCTACAGCCGTAGCTGGGGCCCGATTCCTAGCGCTCAAGTTTTGTGTTCATGTCTTCTGATTTCATTTTGCATTGGCAAACGACTGCTAATCCTATGCGTGATGTTTTTCGATTTTACGGACGTCAGTTGAACCCGGTCAGCAATCTTTTACTTCAGCTTCAACATTTACTCATCATGGGATGTATTCTTCAAGGTCCATCTTGTGTAGTCATAGGCTAGCCAAATGGCACCAGAACAGGTTACGTTGCCCGCCGCCACCTGACTTGACATTCACTCATGGACGGTTCTTCGGAGTTTTGCGAAGTATCCCGGCCTGATGGATTCAATTACCTCAACAGAATCGAAATCTTCGCAATACATTTCACTCATGGATGGTTTTGTGGGTGATTTATTTCATTGGTCTTAGCCAAGTGGTTAACGCAGCAGAATCGAAATCTGCTTCGGTTGGACTGGGCAGGTTCGAAACTTGCTGATTAACAGGTCTTTTTCTATCAGGACACACCTTGACATTCAGTCATGGATGGTTTCCTCACAGGTCCATCTAACTGGTCTCAACCAAGCGGTTATCACAGCAGAGTCAAAATCTGTTTCTCTTGGAGTTGGTTCGAAACCACCTGACAACATTTTTGCGGTATATAGATCCTCGGTGGTCCTTCTTGACTAGGCCCAGTCATTGCGCCTAAATAAATGTGATAGTCTAAGGAATCTGCTCTCGCACTCCGCGATGGCTTCAGCTTTTCCTCGAAAGTTTTCAGTTATCAACCATAACTTACGGGCGTTCGGAAAGATGATTCAACGAGGAGGCGATGCCAAGAACTTAAACACCATTCATATGTTATAAGTGTTCCGTCCAGCTTGTTCACTGTAAATTATTATCTTTTATCACGATGCACTCACAACCCCATCGAGTAAAACCAACTTTCGCGAGTTTGCTGTATTACAACTACTGTTAAACATGCATCGCCTAAGCTTTCCGGTTTACTAAAATGATGTAAACTTGGCGGTGGTTCTTTGTCAGACAAACCTCTCAAAGAAAGGAAATGTCGCGGTGGTCAGACATCTTCCTATTAATGGTAAATCACAGACGGAAGGGATCGCCGCTTTGCTGGTGGTACCGTCGGACGGAGGCATCCAAAATGCGTACGCGTATACGAGTGAGTGTATTTTCCACTGCTCTATAATTTTGTACCCCAAGAACAACAACATGCGCGTTGCGCCTGGCAATCCGACTCGATGCGTTACACTTATGACATATTATCATTTAGGGAAAACATATTACCAGAGGAATGGAATGGTACGCGCAGGCACTCTTTTCATGTATGCGCGGTATTCTGCAGCAACAGCAGAATCTTCCATAATAAGAGCCTCCTACGCATAAAATAAGTACTGCTGAAAATTCACAAGAACAAGACACTCGCCTCGATAGGTATCTTGACAGCGAGCACGCCAGCAACAATACCAAGACTGAAAAGCGGCGCAGAAGACCAGAACATCACCCCAAGAAGCGCCTGATGCATGAGCATAATCCTGAGAAGGACATCAGCATCCAATCTAACCGAGATAATGCCACATGAGACTCACGTGTATAGTGGATGACGTACCACTGCATACGGACCCGTCTGCACGACTCTGGGCTTCTCCCGTCTCTAGTAAGGAGAAGTCAGCCTGAAGATATCCTAAACACACAAATCATAAAAATGATATGCACCCCGATCGCGGACCACTGATTTCCAATGTGCATGTATGCGCGTCCGACGAACCTGAAGAGCACAAAGGACAATGCACATGCTGCAATTCTTAACACGACTTTGGTCTCGTATTGGAAGTAGTCATTAGGTAGGCTCATGCGCTGCATCCATGCAGGCTGCGTGAATAGATTGCCTGTGACGCATAGGATGTATGTTATGGATGGGATGTAGGATGCGAGACCGTGTATCGGAGTCACCGCCTTACCGATGAAGGTGGTCGGCCTCGTGCGAATGGCACCTGATTCCGCTTCAGCGATTGGGGCGATCGCACGAACACGGGAGATCACATATTGACAGCACCACAAAGTGGTTAATACTACTAGTCCCTCCACAACTTGTGGAGGCGCTAGAATAGTGAGGCTGGCGATAGAATACATGCTGTACTTGGATATTAGTTAAGTGTTTGGGGTTGCTTCCAATCTCCGGATGATGGTTTTATATCCCATTTTAAGTCCCGCCTGGCAAGCTGAGAGTGTTTTATGAAGCTAGCGTGGTCCTCATGACGGTATCAATGACAAACCTTGACATGGCGAACGACAAATGATGCGTAATGAGAATCACAAACACGTTGCTCAAAAAGTCCCATTTGATGCGCTGTTGAAGCTAGTCAGATTCAAGCAATATGGATGTGTGGCGGCGGTGAGAAGCGATAAGCTTTCAGAGACAACACAACACTAGAAACTCAGACGTCCTGATTAAGCAGATACAAGATTGGATTCAAGAGCGCCAAAACTACTAGGTACTAAGTACTGCACACTTTATACTGGGTAGATAAGGTAGGCTCGTGATTATTTCTAACAGGCATATGATTCTTTAGTGTTTCAGATAACGTACGTAGCAGGGGGCTTTTCTTTCTTAGTCAGTGATCGGCCTGGACCAGTCCATCCGCCACAGGATGCGAAACATTATAGGTCTGCACGGACTCACCAACTTTCCCTGAGTGCAATCAAAATTGTCCAGCATACTAAGCTCAAAGGGATAAACTCCATCCAAAGGTGAAACCTTCGTCATCTCCTCAGTCACTCCAAATATGACCTACCCTTACTGCAGCCCATATATAGCACATACAAAGAGACTGGAGAACGCGCTCGGTGACGTCGCACCATTGAAACAACGAAGACGGAAGTCAGCTCGCCATGCGCCTACACAAATACTTACCACTCTGCGGCGAATCCTTCTTTGCCAACACTTGATTGACAACCAAAACGTGCATGCCCTTGTACCCTGCTCCCATTAGCCGACTGAACTATCATGTTGCTTCGCTTTAACCTGATGACGGAAGTAAGCCAATGACATTTAGATGATGCCGTGTTTGTATTGTGCATTAAAGTAAGTAATACAAATCAGGAAGGTTTTGATCCACCACCATTTGAACGGAAGGAATCTGAGCAACGTATTCCGCTCGCTGCTCAATGTTCATCTGTCAGAGTGTCCCCAGCGAAAATCAGGGTCTCCAGAGGAATGCTTTGAACACCTCATGAGGCCACGGCATTGCTCTGCTAACCTCGAGCACACGCAAATTGGGGAATAATAGAAAACTGAACATTTCAGATAGAGCCTGGAGTTGTATGATTCCATTGTTAGCGATACGAAGGATTGAAGTTTGGTGTGCGTAAATAGCACAAATCCCTGACCACCTTCACATCCAAGGCAGGTCGTTCACGAAGAGAGGTTGGGGCACATGTGGAGCAATAGGAAGACTTCATTTCGAAGGGATGCCGCATGGAAATCTGTCAGGTGCAACTATATGGGATTTAAAGAAAGCAGCCATTCATTGGTAAACAAGATCCCAATTATCTTGAGACTGCGAAGAGTGTGCAGCAGTCGCAAGATCCATTATTCGAGAGGTAGGTTAAGTCTTTAAGATCAAAGGAAACACGTATAGTCAGCTCCTGAAGGGTGGGCCAAGAGGCCTGTTAACATGAACGCAGTGTCGGTGTAGGAGCCAAGTCGCGTCAGCGAGTCCACGTGACTTACTGATGCGAACAAGCCTTTCGCTTCGTTTTTGACTCACATAAGTAGACACATTCCCTCATCATTCTTAAGTATTCTTTCCCCTTTCGATAACTTACCTTGTGCTTACTTTTGATCCGACCGAACTCACCATATGCTCTTCACTCTCGCTCCAGCTTAGACAAGTATGCGGAAACGTATATATATCCGCTCTTGTACATCGAATCCTATATTCAGATCCGTCTTACAGAAAGACCTCACTTCAAACGTTTCTCATAACTATCTTCGTGTTACTTGCTAATGCGCTTCACCACTACGTCGATCTTCTCGCAATTCCCTGTCGAAATCATACTCAGCCTTACACACGAGTTACAGCTGAACGCTGCCTGATCATCGCAAACGTCCACAAGCAGCCTGCACCATAAAATGGGCAATCGATAGCAATATCCCTCTATCGTCTGCATATTCTTGTCAGCAGCATGGGAACCCGCCCTGATGCAGGTTGCAAGTACTTGTCGTTCAAGGAGACAGCAAGCTGAAAAATGTGGGATAGAACTTCAGTTGGCAAGTGCTAAAGAGCTGATACGAGTCTCTTGTGAGAATTTATGAACTGGGTGATCTTGTACTTCTTTTCGCTGAGTTGATAACGGAGATTATTGATACTATCCATGACAGCTTCCAGGCCTCATGCAATACTGCATCTAGCTGCTGCTGGCGTTCAGCGATGATGGACCCAATGACAGTCCGCTTATTGAGCTCGATGTCAGGGTAGTTCGTATGGGGGGGACTAGCTTGAGAGTACGGGGATCCGAGGTCTGGAATTTAATAATCATCAGTGGAATAACATCCAATATGGATATCTAGATGGACATACGGTGACTCACTTGTGAGCGTGCGACCTGAAGCGCACCTCAGGCAACACTTTCGGTGCTTAGAAGGGGTCTTTCAGACCCGATTTCTATGTTGTGGGAAACTGGTCTCTGAGACCCACCCTCCCGCCATCTAATAATAGCACATGCTCTTCCCTCGCGGGCCTCCAGCACCTCCTTATGAGCCTCCAGGGCCTCTCCCATGTACATGGACCTTCACAGCCTCAGCAGGGGCCCGATTCCTAGCAAGTTTTGTGTCCATCGAACTAGTCTTCTTATTTCGTTTTGCATTGGTAAACGACTACTAATCCTATGCGTGATGTTTTTCGATTTTACCAGTTGAACCCGGTCAGCAATCCTTTACTTCAGGTTCAACATTTACTCATCATGGGATGTATTCTTCAAGGTCCGTCTTGTGTAGTCATAGCCAAATGGCACCCACCAGAACAGGTTATGTTGCCCGCCGCCACCTGACTTGACATTCACTCATGGATGGTTCTTTAGAGTTTTATCTCAACTTGCGAAGTATGCTGGCCTGATGGAATTATCCCAACAGAATCGAGATATGTTTCTCTACAGTAAGAAATTTAGCCGATCGGAACACACTTCGACATTTCGCTCATGGATGGTTTTGTGGGTTATTTATTTCACTGGTCTTAGCCAAGTGATTAACGCAGCAGAATCAAAATCTGCTTCTCTTGGATTGTGCAGGTTGGAAACTTGCTGATTAACAGCTCTTTTTCTATCAGAACACACCTTGACATTCAGTCATAGATGGTTTCCTGACTGCTGCATCTAACTAGTCTCAGCCAAGCGGTTATCACAGCAGAGTCAAATTCTATTTCTCTTGGAGTTGATTCGAAACCACCTGACAACATTTTTGCGGTATATAGATCCTCGGTGGTCCT